ATTCATTCAAGGGACCTCTCACTCGATGCATTTCAGGCAGGAATGCGCTGTAATGACTGATTAACCCCAAGAAAGATCTTAATGAAGAGACATCAGTTGGTGCAGGCATCTTCTGAATGGCTTCGATGTTGGCTGGGTCTGGTCGGCGACCGTTCTTATCTAAGATGAAACCAAGGTATTTGATCGAATGCATGAAGAAGATACATTTTTCTTCACGTAGTTGGAAACCATACTCCAACACTCGGTTAAGTACTTGATGTAGTCGATCTGACAGTTCGCTGTCACTTGAACCCATAACTATGATATCATCTAGATAAGCTGCTGTCCCAGGTATACCTGTTAGCATCGTATCCATTATTTGCTGAAAGATAGCCGGTGCGGTCTTGATGCCAAATGGTAGACGAGTGTATTGAAATAGCCCTCGATGGGTGTTAATAGTCAGGAGCTCTCTACTATCTTCATCTACTTCTACTTGTAGATAGGCATCGGAGAAGTCTATTTTCGCGAAACATGTACCACCATTAAGCTTGGCAAACAGATCTTCAGGAACTGGTAACGGATACTGATACACATCCAATGCAGCATTTAAACCAGTTGAGAAATCGGCACAAATGCGTATAGTTCCATTAGCTTTCTTAATCACTACGATCGGTGCGGCCCATGAAGAGTAGTTGACTGGTTGGATTACCCCAGCCTGTTGTAAGCGATTAAGTTCCTGATCGACTAGCTCAAGAGTGGCATATGGTACAGGACGTCTCGGACGAAAAATAGGTTTCGCATCTGATTTAAATGGTAAGTGAGCTTTCATCTTGGTACAGAGGCCAAGGTTATTCTGAAAAACAGAGGCAAACTTTTCCTTCAGTTTTTCACGTAATCTTTCACCTGTCTTCTTTTTAAGTATCGGGGTGTCCAATGATGAACACGATATGATGCAGACACTGTTAATGGGTACATCCATTATTCCCAGCTTTTCTAGCATATCTAGACCAAGAAGATCAAGGTTTGGCCGTTCTGTCAGATAGCATATTCCTGTACATTTTTTTCCGTTGAAGGAAAATTCACACTGCATCTCACCAACCAGTTTTAACACACCACCTGAAGCGCTTTTAGCTGTTTTCTTAGATGGCTTCATTGGCGGTTTTCCTAGCAAGTTGTACGTTTCTCTAGACATTAAGGTGAGATCTGATGCCGTGTCGATTTGAAAACGAGCTGATGCACCGCTCATCTGGATAGTCACAGACTTTCTCCGAACGTCATATTCTGTTTGAAAAGCAGCTACGAGAGAAAGTGATTTAGACTCAGCTGATCTCACCACATGTCGAGTACGTTTGCGCTTCTTCTTGGGCTGAGACGTACGATCTGGTTGGCAATGGCCTTATTTATGTCCACGTTTATAGCACATCTGACATTTATGTTTTTTAAATGGACAAAATCGTACGTAGTGCCAATCACCACATAACCAACATGCCGTCGTTGGTTTGTTACGAGATGCTATCGGCTTCTGGACTTTTAACCTAGCAATAGCATTGACACTACTGCTGGTTAAATTGGGATTTACCTGTTCGATCAAAATGTTGTCGTGTTTGATACTTTGTAGTCGTTTACACTCATCTATCAACGTTTTGAGTGTAACGTTCGGGTCTTGGTCCATTCGAATCAAAAGTCTAGTTCTGATTTCAGCATCTTGCGGTGACTGAAGAGCTTTGATGAATATTAAGCATTTAAACTGGTCGTCCGTCAACGAGCGTAACTTGAACCGTTCACATTCTCTGTTGACGACGTCTGCAAGAACCGCATATTCATCATCTTCGTGTTTCACCAGATCTAGACAGTGATATCTAATACTAAACAATGATAATGATTCGCCGAAAATATCTAACAGCTGAGTTACTGTCTCCTGGAAACTGAGCTCTCGAGGTAACTTCGGTAATATGTGGTCAGCGTAACATGCATACCCATTACTTCCCAACTTACGCAGCAACAATCGAGTCATCCATGCATCATCTTGTTTACCGAATTCAATTCTAAATGTATCTTCCCAACGTTTGAACCACGTCAGAAAAGTAGTTCCACATTCAGGATTATAGACGAATTCTGGTATGCTGTTTGCCACTGCTTCACAAGACGTATTTAAAATAGTATGTGGACTCGAACACTGGATGTTGAGCTGTTGAGTTAGGGTCTCCAACAACCGCATTTGTGCATCTAATTGTGCTTGCTGTTGTTGTAGTATTCGGTTAAGCTGATCATCTGAAATAGGCATCTTGAAATTTTTTCCCTTTTTCTCCGTCGCCACTGTTGTAACGCTTGCTTAAGATATTACCTGGCTAAATCTTATTGCTTAGTATTCATGACACAAAACACTGGACAAGTAACCCAAATCAAAACACGGTTGAACAGGAAGATTATATTCCAAAATAGCAAGGAATAAGAAGCTGGAGGTGATGGCGAAAGCCAAGGCAAAGAAGGCAAGAAGGCAAAGATAAATACAACGCCAGTCTATTTATAGCCTTTACATCAGAAAGCTTCTGGAAGAAAATTCACGTGATCGACTGGACTGGATTTGACCAATCAGCATGCAGCTAATAATACGAGAATTTTCTATCCTGTTCTCCAAGCTTCGATCAGGCGCTGATGGGGTAGGAATTCAGCCAATCAGCGCGCAGCAACGAAGTCATGCTTTAATTCCATCTATGTCCCACTAACAAGAATGTATTCAAGCAATCCAATGCGATTAAGTCTAAGAACATGTTCTTTAAAATAAAACAATAGAACATTGTCTGTCCGGGTTATACTTTTACAATAGCTCTTATTTTCATACTTCATTGCACTTTTTTGGATTAATGTAATAAAATTACATCGTTTTAAAAACATGAAATGTTGAATCAATATACTACAGAGTAAATAATCTGACTGGATAGAATTATCAGATGGATACAATAAGTCAGTCAAATAACGGTCAAACGGTAAACACACGCAGTTAATCAGTTAATGAGACATAGATTATCAGTTGAACATGTGGCTTCCATTTCTAAGCGATATATATATATATATATATATATATATATATATATATATATATATATATATATATATATATATATTAGATTCGCTTTAACTAATAAAGTCCACCATCACATTCTCGGTGTTCTCATTTAATTAATCCGTTAGCTTACGTCAAAACTGAACATCGAACAACACTTAGTCATATCAAATAGCCCTCAGTAGAGTGTTCGAATATTTATATACCAGATATGTATGGAGCAGAGTAAAATCTATCAATGATATGCGATCGGGCTATAAGTAAAATTAATATATTAAACCAGTGCAATATTTACATAGACCCACCAAAATCATTGTAGGGATATAAATATAACTAAAAGATTCAAACAAATTGTCGACAATACTTACAGATGGTATAAAAACTGGCATCAAATGTGGTGGAACTTGTACTGTCGTTATTTCAGTTATACGACTACGTTCAATAATTTCCTCTTCGATTACATCATATTCATTGTAATTGGAATTTTTACTATCATTCAGTTGTTTAGATGTTATAGTAGTATTGCCACACGATACAACTACGTCTACATGACCTTGTTCATTAATAAATGTTGACGAATTCGGTAAATTTGCAGGTAGTGTCCAATGAATAGTATTCAGCTACATAAAAATTTTGTAAAACAATCCGATATCAAATATGACTAAGAAATACACCAATAACAGATGAGCCAAACAATAGAAACAAAAGATAAATACTAATCTTTATTCAACTGATGATCTAATCGTAGAATAAATGTTCTTTTCAAATCCGATAATTTCCTCGAAGTAACTTACTCTTGACTCCGCTTGAAGCCCTTCCACAGTTATTATCGCTACCAAACCCGGACGAGGGTTGGGCATCGGATTGGCGAACTCTACTCCTATAAAACAAACTTGCTAAAATAACGCTAACCAAAACAAATAATTTAAACTCTGCCCTGAAAGTTGAAAAGTTTTCATTTAAAAGAGTTATGACGAAACATGACGAAAGTCGAGCATCTTCGGAAGTCACGAGGTCGATGCCTCTTCTGACAGGTACAGGTACACTGAATGTTAACACAATGTGAAAGACCAAAAGAACTATTCAAGTTGCCAAGGGAATGAAACGATGCAACCTGGTGGTACTTAGAATCAGTGAGACACATTAGAAGCAGGTTGGACAAAAAAGGTTGGCTTCAGGAGAGTTGCTGTTGAACTCCAGTCATGAAGAAGAAATAGCATCACACAGACGAGGGGTCGCTCCGTGCTATCTAAAGAAGCACGGAAAGCAATTATAGGATAGGAATTTCATGGACCCAAGATAATTAAAAAGCATTCTTCAAGACAGGGAAATCGATTATATTGAATGTCACTCTTAGCTATGAGCCTAACAACGATTACAATGAAGATAAGGATCAATTCTATAGGAGGATGGAGTCAATCGTCGAAAAATGCCCAACAAAAGATTTGAGTATTCTGATGGGAGACCTAAATGCCAATGTTAAAATGGACAAAACTGGATATGACGACATTATAGGACGACATGGACCGAGAGAAAGGGACGAAAACAGTGAGAGATTCGCAAACCTATGCGCCTTCAACAAAATGGCTATAAGTGTCACTGTATTCCTAGACAAACGCATGCGTTCTATGGATTGTTGCATTTTATTGCATAAACAGAGTTGTTATTTTTCAGTTTCACTGATCGATCAATGTAAACACATCAGTCAAATAAACAACCAGTCATCGTGATTCGATTAATTGAACAGTAATTTTGATGATAATAACACAAGATGATGTGAATTCACATCTCATATAAGTATTAAATTCTCTAGACATTGTTGGTGAATGTTATTGAAATTCAACTCTAGGCTAGTAGCTGTTTCTAACTAATCATCTTCAACCATTTAAAAATCAATTCCAGCAATTGCTGCACATCCCATATGAGGATTCAATGAAAAAGTCACATACTCACCATTAATTGATTTCCAGCACCATGTTTGCGTTTTTCCCAATAGTAATTTATTATCACAGCGGGTACTAACCAAACACACTGTTTTATGGTTGATTCGAATAATATTAGACGACCAGGACAAAAAATTTTTGGCAAGCTTTCAGGATATTTTTCATCAAGTTTACAGATAATGGAATTTTTTAGTTGACGATATTTGTAACACAACTGTGCAAGGAAATAAATATTTAGACAGTGTACACATTCATTATATAGGATTAAATATATATATATATATATATATATATATATATATATATATATATATATAAACTAGGTTTCCTCACTTAAGTAGCCTGTCTATCAGTATCTGAAAAGAACATTGCACAACCTACCTTAGTTCATTAAACCGCTGGAAGTTAATGCACATTTATTTGTATACGGAAAAAGCAACCGAAGGAGTGGTAAATTGATATTTTAACTTACTTCATAGTATTGACTTATTGAATGACAACATTCAAGTCCATTATTTGGACATTTAACTTGTACATCGAGATCATTAGTAAGGGATTTAAACAAATTAGATGTTGCAGTTGTTGCCTGAGTAGACTGAATACAATTATCAATTGGTTTGTTGTGAGAACTTATTGCAGTAGTTTCATTTAGCTTATTGTTTAAAAGTGATAAATCTTGTCTTTGTTTAGTTTCCCAACGATGACTTGCTGCTTCCATAAAACTACGCTTCATAACATCCTAAAAGTAACATGAATTATTGAAAATAATAGAAACTAGTTTCTATTCTTTATTCAAAAAATCGTTAAAGTGAGTAATATTATACCATTTAGATGTTAGATATTTGATAGATGAGTTACTTAAAAATCATACAAATAAGTTTTGTTGATCAAAATGCTGATTTCGTGTAATTAATGTGCTGAACATCATTCCTGTTCATGATAACTGACGATAAAATTCAGTGACTGAAACTCACATTAGATGGAGTGAAATGTGCACAGATGCAACTTAGTGATTAGATAGTGAATGGCTAAATTGTTAACCTACAGCTCCTCAGAATACTGAGTTATTCAATAATGAAAAGTATAAAATAGAATACTATTCTTTCATTTTCAATTTGATTTACGGTGATACGTAGTATGGGCATAAATTCTATTTCAGCTGTAAAATAAAAAAATATTAACTAATAGATGAGAAATATTTATTATGGATGGATATAAATGAGTCTCATACAAGGACAAAACGTTTGTTCAGTGCTTCCAGGTTTCTAATGGTGGTCTATCAATGACTGACTCATGATTTCAGTCATAAATGTTCCGTTTTACTCCGTTTATTACTTGAGCATCAGTAGTGCTCAAATTATGATGCAAGTGTTTAAATTTCGAGTACGTATTTACGCAAACAGACAGGTGTACAACATGAAGTAAGACATCTCAGCATACTACTCAATGTAGTTAAAACTTGACTCAACATCTATAAGCATTTAAGCAGATACATACTATTATATACACCCTCATGATCATATATAAAAAGGATAAATTGAAAGGGAAGATTCTGTCCAAAAGTAACGATAACTCGTGTAGTTGCGTAACATTAACGGTTATACTATTAATTTCTGTATTGTGCAATGAGACCACTTATTCTCTTAACAGTATTGATAAAATCGGCATTTCTATGAACGCAAATATATTTTAGTGTAGGTGGTTTGTGGATGTTGTTGAGTTTCATGGCTCACATTAAGAACTAACTCTAATCAGACAACCTTTAAAACCGCTGAAATATGTGAAGATAGTAGGTGCTAATGAAGTTGTCCAGTGCAACAATGAAATTTCCACAATTCAGTTATCTGGATCAGAGAACATACTGCTAAAATTGATCAGTGAAGTATATCAACATCTGAGTCGGAGAATTCAAAAATGATTTCTCACTTCACTTTCAGTATATTGAATAATCAGGTATAAATATATATATACAGAAATACGTCTTAATATTTCCTGGATTTAATACAGAGTTAAATTACCTGTGGAGTAAGTGAGGATAGTCGATGTAAGCTTAAAATCATCGAATATGTGACTTTGAATTTTGAGACTAATTGAGTTTGTGCTCCAAGTATCATGGTTCGCAACGTACTTTCAGTAGGCAGACCAGTCAAAGGTGACTTTATTGATCTTCTAATGGTACTAACCAAAATAATCACATGACCTTTATCATCTACACCACGACGTCCTGCTCGACCAGCCATTTGAGTATATTCGCCTAGTAACGAAAATAACGTGTAATAAAACGATAGCGTGATGAAATTAGCATACTGTTTCAGTGACGTAGGGAACACCAGGACAGTTTAGACTGTTACGTTCAATTAAAGAGAACCTCTAATTGACTAATGTGTGTGCAAAAGAGGAAATCTTATGGATCAAAAATAAAATAAACTGAATTATATATTCGTGATCTGTTTTCACTCCATATCGTCTCAGTATACGTTGCATTTTTTGTTGATAATTTACCACTTGATTGAACATTCGAATGTACAACTTCACATCCTTTCGTGACAATTGTTAGCCTCGAAAAAACTTGGACGCTTAACTAGATCTCGTGAAGAGCAGGCCAGAGAAAGCCAGGCTTGTTTCCGACCTGGACGTGGCTGCATAGACCGCATATTCATACTACGACAGGTCCTGGAACACAGACACACATTTAGGCGTCCGACAATAGTGGTCTTCTTTGACCTTAAAGAGGAATTTGACTCTGTTGATCGTGAGGTTCTGTGGCAGTTTCTGTCATTAAAAGGAGTACCAGAGAAGTATATTAACCTTATACAGGCTCTCTGCTCAGTTTTGGTCGAGTGAGAGCTTATGGCGAACTGTCATCAGAATTCTTTATTTCGAGTGGTGTCCGACAGTGTTGTCCACTCTTTCCATTCTTGTTTTTTTGTCATAGACCTGCTTCTAGATATAACATTATCTTCGTTTGAATTTTCAGGGTTGGACCTTCTACCAGGTGGCTCGCTGATTGACTTAGAATATGCCAATGACATAGTCCTACTTGGTGAAGACGCTGACAAAATGCAGAGTCCTCTGACTACCCTAAGCAACAATACGAGCATGTTCGGGATGCGGTTTTCCACCTCGAAATGCCAAATGTTGCTTCAGGATTGGCTTGCGTCGGCACCTGAACTAATGATAGGGAGTAAAGCGGTTGAGTGTGTTGACCGCCACACTTATCTCGGGAGTCTATTCAGCGCTGATGGCCTGGTGTCTGACAAAATCTCAGCACGGATAGAGGAAGCTCGACTGACTTTCGCCAAACTGCGTCACTTATGGCTTAGACGAGATTTCCATTTGCTAACCAAAGGACGAGTGTACTGCACAGCAGTTTGCTCCATCCTATTTTATGACTGAAACATGGCCAGTCAGAGTAGAAGATACTCGTAGGTTGCTGGTTTTCAATCATAGGTGTCTTCGAAGCATTGGTCGTATATCCTGGGACAACCGAGTAAGCAATGCTGTTGTTAGGAAACGGGTACTAGGTAGGGGTGGCAGATCAATAGATGAATTATTGAAACTGCATTATTTGAGGTGGTTAGGACGTTTGTTACGAATGCCTAACCACCAACTGCCTCGACGAGCTTTGTTTTGCGATGTAGGAGTAGGTTGAAAGAAAGCTAGAGGCAGCCAATCCAAAACATGGCACTGACAACTGGAGTGATGTCGACTACCTGGTTAAGGTCCGTGAAGAGATAATAATCAACGGTTAGAGACCCTGAGTGACATGGCTCAAAACCGTTTGCAATGGCAGAGGTGAATTCATTCATTGTGTTCTTGCAAATCCTAACCTTCAGAGTTCTTCATCACCTTTATCTTTTTGTTTTTAAGTTTATTTCACTAGATTCTACTTCTTGAATGATATCTTCGAACCATAATCTCTCCGATTACTGCGAATACTTTTACTACTTCTGCTACCATGGGATTTGAAGTGACAATAGCGTCTCTGCGCTAATGTGGTATGGCGACCGGAACTGATGCACGAGCGTATGAAATTCTACGTTGTAACTGATTGACTGACTGACCACTTTATGATGATACTCATTTTATACTGCTTGTTCACAAGTAAAAAAAAATTTAAGTTTTTCTTAAAAGCAGTTAGTACATTATATTCTTAACTGTAAATGCAGTTTGGTTGAAGTTATCCTCAAATGACTGCTTTAAACGACGCTCTGTGTTAAAAGACTCAATAGGTGAGATAAAAAAAAAACATACAGAAAACGTCGTAATTAGTAATATAGCACTCCAACTACTAACTGGAGAGGAAAATGAAGAAAGTACTGCATACAGCACATTTGGTGAACATTGACAATGACACGGATAACCCCAGCGCCAGTCACAGCACACCTAAAGTTTCAACTGTTGTTATTAGAAAATCTTATTTATTTATTTATATTAGTTACATAATTAGTGATTAGATGTTAGTTTTATGATTATTCCATAAATTGCCTGATTGAATTGTCTGATTATATATATTATAGTTCCATACTTACTTGGATTCAAAGGGCGTAGATTTTGACCATCGAATTTTTCAATTGATGTAAAGACTACAGAACGTGCAGGTGTATTAATTCCCATAGAAAATGTTTCAGTAGCGAAAAGAATTTTCACTAAACCTTTTTGAAATAACACTTCCACAATCTAATGGATATAAATCATTGAAAAAAAATAAGGAAACAATAGATGTTATAAAGGATTAACATAAATGTAAAAAAAGCACTAGTATTAGTAATGCTACTTGATGTTAACCGTTCTATGCATTTTTAGGATAGTGAAAGCGAGAACAGTCAGTCATTCTAATCCTACGTAGAATTTAGAATATGATGTCCTAGAATAGGATGTCACACTATAAGACAACGAGAAGAAATTACAATGGTAGAGGCGATGGTAATAGGGGTTAATAGTAGATACGATTAACCATAGAAGACACAATATGAAGGGTATGGAAGATACAAAAGAAGGAAGCAATTACGAGAATAGTGAACATAGTATATTCTATTCATTCTTACATGTTATAAGTAAATAGTTAAATTTTAAGGAAAAACATTGTACTCAAAATTTAACAAGATGAGCTTAGATGCTATAAGAAATCTGCAATCGATAACAACATGGCGATTATTCAAAATACGGAAAGTTGTTGTTTGCATAGAGACCGAGATAAAAAGGTAGTGACTTATGCTGGGATAGCTAAAAAAATTATCTAACAAATCCAAAACAAACGAGATGACGGAAAAAAAAGATATGCGGGACAGAGAGATCAAATTATCCATTAGAATTCCATAGTGGTAAGTGTAGTACAAGTATTAGCGGTTATACAGAAGATTAGGATTCAAAGATATCAATCAAGAAGTATAATTTAGTGAAATAAATTTAGAATGAGAAAGACAGGTGATGAGGAATTTTTCACAACGTCAAGAATACATATCAACTGTGAAGCTGAGTTCAGATGAGAACAACACAATTTAACCAGTAAAAATATTACTCACTTCTTTTAATAAAGGCAACATTCCACCATGATGAATGGCGAAGCCCCTTCTAGTCAAATCACGGACAAATCTAATTGAACCAAGTTTTCGATTACATTTTTTTAAGCGATCAATATTTGTTGAGAAAAACTTATTAATCTGCTTTTTTTCAGCTAAAAAAAGAATATACATAGAATGTCATATGAAGTATGATATTTAGTAAGGATTGCTAATCTCCTGTTGTTGATATATTCAGGTATATAATTGACCCCTCACTCTCTTTGAGCCTTGTTGCAAAACAGCGTTGTCCTAAGTTTTGGTATATTTGATGTTTGGCTAGCAGTGGAATCCAGAACCCTTCAGCCTCTTCGCGAATCGTTAGATAAATATATTTAACTTTCACAATAGTATTCGAACACTGAACTTGTTCGTCAAATTCCCAGATGCATACAGTTAACGAGGTCTGGATTAAGAAGAAACACTAGTTCTGGATTTTATTGTTAGTTAAATATTAAATAAACTAAAACTTTTGATATTATTTGCAACAAATAGTTTTTAGAGATTTAACTAATCTGAAAATGAATTTTGTTCAGAGACTAAAATCATCTGACAAGAACCCCTTTGCAAACTAAGAAACTCATTGTCTGAAACTTCTTACATAGCAGTATTGACACGTTACCTTGTCAAAAAAAAAGAAACTATAACGTTGGATTCATTACGATGTAATCAGGACCGCTAGATTAGCAATGAAATCTTTGATTGTCTTTTTGTTCCTAACCATCTAAGATTAACACCATTAACTGTAACGATGCTACTTGATTTATCATCCTGACTAACAAATTTCTTTTCATAATAATAAAAAACTAATAAAAGCTTACAAGACTCATACTGACACTTTTGCAGTTAATAAAATAATCGATTATATTTTTGAGAAATGAACATTAAAGCTTTTTGATGTAGAGTTGAAGTTTTGTTAAGGCTGTTATTTTTGAGTTAATAATCATTCTGCTAAAAAGGATTATCAACAATAATCTCCATTATTTACAATTAGTTTTTACATATAAAATTCCTTGTTGATGATTACACATGTGACTGAAATCTTTGAAATGTATGGTGCAAATATATATCACGTTATTCAAATCAAATCCATCTTTTCATTGCTCTATCAACCTAGAATGTACACTAATAAACAATAAGAAAAAAAAACACTACCAATAGCAGCACACTCTAAGAAAAAAAAATGACATGATTGAAAATGGAAATATTCTGCGAAACTGCAACAACACATCATATATATACTTTGACTTGTTAAATCTATTGATGATAGATTTCTAGCTAATGTTTCCAAAACTGATCGAGAGAATATGAATGCTATCACAGGCATAAGATCTTGTTCTTTTAATAAGTTAATAAATCCAAGCCATGTATTTTTAGTTAGCATTGAGAAACCATCTTTGCCCCGAAGACCTATAAGAAAATAGATAAATTATTTAATTATTGGAAATAGTTTAATCTTACTACAAAAAAAAAGATTCGTTCAACGAAAACCTATCAAACAGTAGTTTCTATAAAAACATATGCATATATATATATATATATATATATATATATATATATATATATATGCATGGTACAATTATGAAATACATTAGATGCAATGTTGAAACTTTTGAAGATTATTGACACAGTAGAAGAATAGTAAAGAGACAAAAATGACGAATTCAAGGTTAATTCATGGTCATTCGAAATGAAAGTTTATACGAAAGACAATATTTTTATATGTCGTTAGCGAAACGTTGCACAATTTGTATATTTTACACGCTAATCTACTTTTAAAATGAGAAAGTGACACCAACTTTTTCGAGTAACGTGTAATGAACGGAATAATTCATCTAAATTCATTGACGATTATAGTTGCCTGCTAGGAAAATTAATTCTTTCAAACACACAAGTTGATTGAGACATTCAGTCAGCAACAACGCAGCACTTCGTACGTACATACATCAATTCAAGTTGCCATACAAATATGCAGACAGAGAGATCAAATTATCCATTAGAATTCCATAGTGGTAAGTGTAGTACAAGTATTAGCGGTTATACAGAAGATTAGGATTCAAAGATATCAATCAAGAAGTATAATTTAGTGAAATAAATTTAGAATGAGAAAGACAGAGCTGATGAGGAATTCACAAGATTAAAATCTGGGATGCATCTGCGCCATTGCAAACGATTTTCAGACGTGTCATGCAAGGTCTCAAACCATCGCTTACTAATGTCTCGCAGACTTCAACCTCAGAGTCTACATCTACCAACATGGTCCAGTCAACTTTTCATTGACTTTATGGAATTGTGCCGAGATTTCATCACACAACAGGCAATCAAGTACTGATGAGACTGCCAAGACCACGTGTCAAACCAGTCTGGTTTTCTCGAATCTGCTCTTCACGAGCTCTAATGAGGCGTCAAAGTGTTATCGAGGCTAACATTTTAGACACTATATTAGTTAAGCTGACTTCTCTGCGATCGTCACAGCAGGACTTTTATCTTGTTTTATAGACTGAGACAATCAGTGATTGGGACCAGTCAGATGCGACTACGTTCCCAGGTTCTACCTAAGATCTCAGATCTAAGTTCTCAAACCAAAACACCATCATTAAAACTCTCAGGGGTCAATCTACCGGTGCCTGTCGCTCTTCCGCGCCTTAGATTTCCTTTAGCTTTCTCAACTTCATTAGTAGTTGGAGGATTTACATTAATTTGCCATTCAAGTTAGCTGGAAATAGCTGGTAACCATAATGTGGCTGAAGGCCAATTGAACTGATCCCGAAAGTGTTCTACCCATCGAACAGTTTTCTACCATCAACTATCACCACCACAGCCTTTTCCATCTCGCTTTCGCTAACCACCACTCTTCACAATCATCGCGTGCACTTCTTATCAGCCTGCGCTTTGGCTAACTCCGCTCTTCGTCATGTTCACAACCAGGTCGGATGAGCTTCCGAGCATCTATCAGATCGGGGGATGCTACTGAGATCCACTGTTTCTGCCTAACCCATCGGTTTACCTTTCTACCAGATATTACTGCTGTTTTCACAGCTTTTTGGATATCATTCCAGCCTGTCTTACGGTGGGCATCACTTACATCGCTGCCCAACTGCTTTCCTTGTTGTTCTCAAAATATATTATTAGCTTTGCTACCGTTGGGTAGAACCCTAAAAGGTTCCCTTGCTGTGTTTCCTACATCTAGTAAGTTGCAGACAAATACACCCTCATACTGGTGCATGATCTGAATCTTAACATTTGCTCCAGAACGAGTGGCAGTCTTCTATCAAAGCTCTCCATCAATGGCTGATGGCAATACGATATACTTGAGTCCTGCGTTGTGTCGCCATGACAAAAGACGTTTAACCTTGTACTTAAAAATGGTAATTGCTAGAATCAGGCGGTTATCTGAGCATAGTTGCAGCAAACATTCACCACTATCTATTCTTTCAGCCGCAATACCATATGATCCACCCCGGTGTCTTTCCTTTTCGTTTGGTCTACTTACTTGAGCATTCCATTCACTAGCCACTACTACTACATTATATCGCTAATCGTTCTGAAGGAGTTCTGAAAGCTGTCTGTAAAATTCATCTTTAACGTCATCTGAGCTGCAGTCCACGGGAGCGTTGGCAGACACGATGAAGAGGTAACGGCGAGTGTCCTACTGACTGAAACAACTCTTTATAAACGTATGGTTACGACCATCCAATGAAAGTTATCGGCTGTCTATGGGACTCACACAATCAGACTGTAATAAAAGGAGGTGAGTATTAGCTAAACAGTGACTACATAATTAGTCTGGACCCCGCGGTAAGGTAGAGAAATCGGGCTAATCACACCAGTAATTTCAACAAAAGATTAGAAAGGTAAAGATGTTTGATGTGGTGATGTACTCACCAAAGGTCGAGTCTTCTGCGCAGCAGTTCGCTCCGTCATACTTTACGGCTATGAAACATGGCTGGTAAGAGTAGAGGAAAATCCTAGGTTATTAGTATTCGATTGTAGATGTCTTCGAAGCATTGCTCGCATATCCTGGGACAGCCGAATAAGCAATGCTATAGTAAGGAAACGAGAGCTAGTTAAGATGGAAGATCAATTGATGTAGTAGTGAAACTTCATCATTTGAGGTGGTTGGGACATATGTTACGAATGTCCAACCACCGACTGCCTCGGCAAGCCATGTTTTGTGGTGAAGGAGTAGGTTGGAAGAAAGCTAGGGGCGGCCAGACCAAAACAATGCACAAATCCATGAAGTCACTGACAAGTGGATTGAGTCATGTTTGTAGTTGTAGACTACCTAATTGGGGTCGATGAGATGATAGTGACCGATGATTAGAGACCTTGAACGACATGACTCAAAATCGTTTGCAATGGCGCAGGTGAATCCATTCTTTGTGTTCTCTCGAATTCTAATCTTGTGAATTCCTCATCACCTCTATCTTTCTCTTTCTAAAGTTATCTCACTGAACTATACTTCTCGAATCATATCTTCGAACCCTAATCTTCTCCATTACCAGTAAAATTATCGCTACCACTATGGGATTTGAACTGACAGTTGCTTCTCTGCGCTGATGCGGTATGACAACCTGAACTTATTTACTCATGTATGAAGTTCTACGTTGGTCGCAAAAATTAATTATCCGCTACTTAACAAAACTTTGATTCAAATATAGGTTTCAACTGTACAGGCAATGAAGATGATTGAACTTTAACAAAAACTAAACTGCATTTGATAATACGAATAATACGAATAAATTAGGTTCTAAATTCGTGAGATCTAAAGATTTCGAAGTACTTCATCATGGGTTAGTACTAATTAATAACTAAAAACTATTAACGAAGTTCTCTGTTCAAGAGAATTTCGGTTTCAAATAGCTAGTTTCAACTGTCTTCACATCATGACGGGAATCAATCAATAAAATTGTACGAAGTCTTAACAATACCACTTTAATGTATTTTTAAAAATTATAGTAATGCACAACTGAATTCGTTTATAATGGTCAATTTACGAAGTTCCTCTAGAATTGACTGGATCCTATCTTTCAAGTTATAGATATTAGTCTAAGTGAGTCAATATCCAAGCACTATATTAAGATGTAAATATGTTGGAAGTAGTAAGGTGATGGTTGAAGGTCGATAGGAAACCCTGGAGATACGTTCGGTGCTGTTTGGCGCTCGTCAGCCGGATGTATCTGTAATCTTGAGGGAACTGATGCTCCATGGCGGATTCGATCTTGTGTCACCCAGCTTTACAATCAGAGACTTTACCACTGAGCGATCCTAGCCGCTACTGACTTGCTATACGACCGAGACGTATTTACAATCAACAGATCACTGAAAATAGTCGGCAGAAAGCCAAGTACACCTAAATTCTACGTCAGTTGACACCTGTCGCCAAGATGTACTCACAATCTTTGAGGAAACGATGCTTTAAATAACCTCAAATTAACGTCACGCGGTCTCACGGGCTGAGAACGTAACCAATAAACTGTTTGGAAGATGTTTCCTATTTAAACCTTCCAACCACGTGACAATTATTTTATCCCAGTTAACTTAAATTAACTTACCAGGAGTATATGTTAGTCTTCGAGTATTATTCGATACAGCCGCTGCCTCATAACCTATGAACAAAAATAAATTGCAAACATTATACGATATGTGATATATCTTTACTAACTAGTTAGGAAAGTTTGTTTGTTAGTATTAGTGATTAGTTATTTGTTGCATGATTAGTAAAAATGATTGTTATATGAAGTGTACTAGAATACTTCGTAGTACAAAAAGTTTCATCTACAGACTTAATCCATCATCAAGCTAGTTGTTTTGGTATTTAATGTAAAACTATTTCAAAGCCGTTGCATGATACTATAGCGAGTGCTTTCATGTCTAACTCACAGGGCTCGCCCTACTTGTCTTTTGACCTTATCAGTCATTCGCTCATATCTGCGTTGCATTTATTCGTGTGCGTACACACCTATCTCGGTTATTACCTGTCTTGCTTATTTTTGTTTGATTACAAATTCTTAGTCATACCCCATAGAATAGAGGTGGCCCTCTCAACCCCTCCACTTCAATTCACTTCGCTTTGCTTTGCTTGTATGCTTTTCGTTATCATGTCTGCTTGAACGATTGCCTGAAATAAACTCATCCAACCGAATCCGTATTTGGCTTCTTATTACCGCTGTCGCACAAAAGGAGTTCGCCTAAGTATAATAAACGGAAACTGACGGGGAGATTTATTTCATAGCATATTCCATCATCCATAAATAAAGGAGTCAGATCACGGACCAACAATACTATTAAGGACAAGTTAATCAGAATCTTCATCATGGATCATCAATCAATGTGATACTTTTCTGAATAACTGGTTATTTTTAGCTTTGATATATATGTGGTTGATTCAGGTCCTGAACTATTTCCAACCATTTGTTTAATTAAAAACAAGTCTCAACGGGTGACTATATATTGAAACAATATTTAACAATAGTCTTCGTGTATCAGCATTCTGTGATCTAGGTTTGGATGTTAGTTGATCGGAAGCGAGTTATGCATACAAGCATTACATGAATGACCAACTTTTCATATGGTACTACTATCTAAAGAGCTTGTAGCCAGCTCTTTAACATACGTGCAAATACAAACTTGTCGAGAGACAGATCAAGAGAGGCAAAACTGCAGAACCAAACAACATACCGACTGACGTATTGAAAGCAGACATAACAGTGACTGCAAAGATGTTCAACGCTCTCTTCAGCGGGGTTTGGGGGAAGAACAAGTACCAACAGATTGAAAGGAAGGAGGTCTCATCAAGTGTGAGAACTGCAGAGGCATCACTTTTCTTTCAGTACTAGGAAACAGGCCGTATTCCGCAAGGACTGAACGTGTACCGGCCAAATTGCAACATAATGGATCATTGTAGAACAAGTAATTGAATAGAATTCACCATTCTACATCAACTTCATTGATTACGAGAAAGCGTTTTATAGCGTGGACAGGACAACATTATGGAGGCTTCTTCGACACTACGGCGTGTGAGAAGATAGTCAACATCATAATGAATTCTTATGATGTATTACACCGCATGGAGGACAACTCACTGATGCATTCCAATTGAAGCCTCGTGTCAAGCAAGGCTGCTTACTCCCACCTTTTCTCTTCTGATGTTTGACTGAATCATGAAGATTATAACATTTCAGGGGAAGCACGGAATATAGTGGACAGCTGGGGTGCCACTGAATGATTCGGACTTCATACATCACTTATATCTATCCTATATTTAACACCAAAGCAGGTGAAAACGGTCAGTATAGCCGTAGTCTCTGCATCTGGAACTCAAAAAACTGTCAACCAGCACCAAAGTCACAATTTTTAATACAAACGTCATAACCGTACTATTGTATGCACAGGAATCTTGGAGAACTACGACAACCATCATCCATAGGACACGGGTGTTCATTAACAGTTGTTTACACGAGATACTGAGAATTCGTTGGCCAGACATCAGCAACAACCTTCTGTGGGAGAAGACAAATCATATCCCAGCTGACTTAGAGATTAGGGAAAAGCGATGGAGGTGGATAGGACACACATTGCGGAAGTCACCCGACTCCATCACGAGGCAAACCCTAACTTTAAACCCTGAAGGTCGAAGGAAAAAAAGTAGACGTAGGAAAACATTTTGCAGGGAATCGGAGGCAGATATGAAAAGAATCAATATCAATTAGGTAGAACTGAAAAAGAAGTCTCGGGACAAATTGGGTTGGAGAACGCTGGTAGGCAGCCGTAAGTAAATAATGAAATAATATTTTTACTGGTAAAGCACTTTAGGCCTCAAACGTTAGAAAAGAACTAGCTATTAAATTTTATGGCTTTCCATCTGAAAGGAATCGTTGATATGAGATTGTCAAACAAATTGACAGATTCATAAGGGTAAGTCGATTAGTATTTCACGTTTAGTACATATTGTTTAGCATTGTGAGGGGAATAAATGACACGATACATATTTTTTTGATTAAATATTACCTGAATTGATAAAACGACCGTTTTCATCCACAATAAGATGAAGATGTGATGCATACTGCTCTATATTACCCGTATATAGGTAATGTTCCAAGGGAACTGGACGTCTATCTGTTGCGACAACGTGGATCTTACAACCTCTTACACGTCCTAACCAATCGGCCAGTTCATAAGTATTGGGTACAGTGGCGCTTAACAGAACTAATAAAATATGCCTGGGAAGCATGATCATAATCTGTTCCCATATATATCCTCTGTCCGGATTATTAATATAATGTACCTAAAAATAAAGCGGTAATATAATAATAATAATAATAATAATAATAATATATTTATCCCACAATCATTGATGAGGCAAACAGCCAAACTGGATAAGTTTAAAACATGTTTCGCTAGTGAATGTGTAGCATCTCACTATTTATTCATTATACAAATTTTAGTAATTAGCCGTGTAAAATATTCGGTAATAGTATCGACCAATGTTTGCATTCGTGATAAATCGATAACAGTATCGATATTGTGCATATGTGTGTATGCTTACTAGCTAATGACATGTCTAGCCTAGCTTATGAGAATGTGAATTTCTGCCATTTCATAATACGAGACAGTGGTCGGAATCAAAATGATTTTTACGTAAAGTATGTATGCCAAAATAAAAGGTTATTTTAAGCAACCCACAAATCAAGCGACTGAAAGGTTTGTTGGATATCAGTTGTTATAACCACCAAGCGTGGAAAATGGTTCTGATAAATGGGTGAAATGTTCGAGATGCAACACATTTAGTCTTGTCTGTCCGACCAGGAACTTTTTACGGTCACCTCAAAAAATGATCTAATAATCTCTTATTTTTTCACTTAATGTTTCAGTAATAGTCTAATAACACGATAGAAATAATGACCTTTTCACCAAATGAGTGTCACATATAGCACAGAAAATGTTAAGCATTACTGCCCAATAATAAGTTTGAATTCATACATTAATGACGTTTAAATAATGTCTCATTTTTCGGATAATCTACGTTTCTAAACAGATTATTCAGTTGACCTATATCAGTCAGTGAAATAAATGCTATTTGACATGTGAGACTATTAGCAATGCATTAATTATTTTTTTCTACAAATTCAATGATAGTTTACAAGTGGATAGTAGATTGCATTATCAGAGTATACATGGTATAATTATATGTAATTACGGTTGTATATTTTTAAAAAATGCTATTGTCCCGTGGAACATTTTCTTCATCAAAATGTCAACATTCTTATTGTTGTTGATCCTAACTTGAATAGTGTAAGAGACATGTTATTTATAGGTGTTTTAAAAAAAAAATGGAATTTTCACTGGTTGATAATTAGAATAATTTATTTCCAGGCAAAACATTAACTATGACCCCGATAAACTTCAGTCCAAATAAGTATGAACTTTCTAATTTCGTCCGATACGTTCATTGGTACAGCGTATTCATCACTGACACAATTTACATTTGAGAATTTTCTAGGAATTCCACACAACAGATGACTTTAATTCTTACTACAAACAGAGTTAACTGCTGAAAATGTTTGGACAAGAGAGCATTATTGATTTGTTTTAAACCCCATATATATTGATGATAATTAAACAGTTAGCACACTAATACAAAAAATAAATATTTTATCTTCATTCACAAATAATTGCAGTAGGATATTTGGAAAACTTATTTTTTTCAAATAGACTAGTTGGCTTAGATAACTTATTATAAACTAAGAAGAACAACAACAACACAGTTAGATTGTATTAGCTAAACAGCGACTACATAATTGGTCTGGACAACATAGTAAGAAAGTTAAATCAAACTAATCACATGAGTGATTTCAAAAGAAAATTAGAAGGGTAAAATTGTTTGAATTCACTTCATCATCAATCAGCTCCGAACAAAACTTGTTAGCCCATTAAAAGAGCGTGACAAAAAGGGCCAGTGAGGAGAGAGCACGCTTATAAGGATGACTATCAAAAGGGCCCGTATTAGCAAACACGACAATTGAAAGAGCGAGTAACGTTTTTAGAGGTGTGAAATATGTTTGATTTATTTCCTCCTTTGCCTGACAACAAAATCAAAAACGTATTTCTCCAAACGTGTGCATGATTCTGATTCCAACAATTAATATAATTTTTAGAACTTGATAACAATTTGTTATCTCATGTGTCGATTTCGAATGGCTAGAATATGTTCTATTGAAAGGAATGGTTGTGGTTGTTGGATTTCAAACAAATCAACAGCTTGTTAGGTAATTTCAGATGACCGAAAATGTAAAGGTCATAAACACAATTACAACTAAGTATTCACAATGAAGTTATCATTTTGAAATAAAATATTTGATTCTAGTCCTAATGTATTGTTGAAATTATTTTATTGTTTTAAAAAATCACATTTATTAATATGTGGCCCTTTGATAGTCACCCTTATTAGTGTGAACCTGAATCTTGTACGTCATTCAGTAGCCAGAAAAAATAATACATGAGAGAATCTGACTATGTTACTGTTCTATAAACTAGCCATCATCAACATAGATTTTAGGACACTGGAAAACACTGACAAATACTAACTGCGGTCGAGGATTCTTGTGACAGTTGGTCATAAGCTTTGACTCTAGCAACAGTGTTCAAGAAGAGTTGTTACAGGGTTTATACACTTCTTTGATACGCATTTTTATGAACAAACCATGTCACAAAACCAGCTCCTCCATAGAGTCCAACGCCACCTTAAGGTCAAGAAATACAACTGCAGTCGGGTGTCGGTAAACCGCTCGACTATTGAGCCAGAATCTTTGGGCGTCCAAGTCTGACTTGAATCAATCTATTGCATAAAGAATCTGAGCTAAACCGAAATAAACTTGTGATAATTAACTGTCTAGTGAAATGAAATGTGAATATTCGTACAATCATCAACAACAGTTTAGTCTGATTTACTTTTACAGATTTGTAATTTAATAAAATAAGACAATTATGACAAAATCATCATCATAAACAATCTCACCAAATAAATAGTAATCAACAACTTACCTCGTCTAAGATTACAATTTCAAGATCATTGATCGTCTCAGATGCATTGCATAATATACTATGTAATATTTCAGTAGTCATGACAAGTAATGATGCAGTTGGAGCTAGTTTTATATCGCCAGTAATAATTCCTACATTTTCACCAAATTTTTCCCTATAATAATTGACAGTTAGCAAATATGAAATTGTTCTGTGTATGCAAACAGTTTTTATTAGTAACTGAACTTAATTGGATAATGATTAAGAATTAAGAAACACTTGGCAGGTGTTTCTTACTAGTAAGGCGCTCCTAAGCAGATTAAACCTACTCCGATCAATGATCGAAGCCAGAATCCTTTGATATTTCTTCCAGCAAGATACCAATAACCCACTGAGCTAAAATCCAATGTTCTACATCGTTACCATTTATGACAACTGAGTCATGCTTTAGATACTAGTGAAAGTGATGAACGAACATTTCGTCAGCAATGTGATGGACTTTCTTTACCATATTAATCAAAGATTTAAATGCGAAAAACAATTAAGCACTGAATTGAAGTAATAAAGATAAAGCATACATGATTGATTAGCGAAGAAACAAGTCATACAAAATGTAGGTGAATATATGATATGTTTGTCGACATACATCAATTTTTAGCTTGGCAACTAACATCCACGAGATATTTCAGTGAAAAATAACACTATGATTTTAATCTTATGCATCAGCTTTTTACTCAATGTGATAATAATAAAACTTGTTTTGATTTTGTAATAACATGAAAAAATGCCAGAACTTGAAATAACCATTAACAATGATAGTGACTAACCTAAAATCATGAAATTTTTGGTTGGAAAGTGCTTTAACCGGACTTGTATAAATGACACGTGAACCACGACGTAAACAAATAGCACAGGCATATTCTGCAACGACTGTTTTACCGGACGAAGTATGTGCTGCTACAAATACTGTTTTATTATTTTCAAGACATAGGATTGCACGTTTTTGAAATGTATCAAGTTCAAAATACCAATTTAATGCGGGGTTTGGAATCAGTTTTTTTAAGGTAGGAAGTTCTGTTGTTGTATCCTCCTATACAATAAGTAATAATAATCATAGGAATGAAAATTCACAGAGAATACATACTCACGAAGTTAGTCACCAATCGGCGCACTTTATATTTTCCTTTAACGATTACATTTTAATTGTGGTAAGAACTTTTAACCGTACAATTAGTTGACGGTTAAGATTTTTATCTCATTTCATAGGATAGAAAGAAATGAATGTCTATTACATATAATTATATTTGCAAAACCATTTATATTGACCACTAATCGCTTCCTAATTCCTCAGAAATCCTTTACACTTGAACTCCCAAACAGAAGTATGGCAAAATGCTTTACTTCAAAGGTCAGTTTGATTACAGAATGCAGAGATACTCAAGGGTTTATAAATTATCTTGATTTTATGAAAGCTGCTCAAAACATGCGAAAATTAGAAGTCAGTCAGTCAGTTGCAACGTAGAACTTCGTACGTAAGTACATCAGTTCATGTCGCCATACCACATCAGCACAGAGATATTATTGTCAATTCAAATCCAATAGTAGAAGAGGTAGTAAAGGTATTAGAAGTAATCGGAGAGGTTAGAATTAGAAGATATTATTCACGAAGTATGATTCAATGAGATAAGTTTAGAAAGTAAAAACTAGAGGTGTTGAAGAACCCAGAAGATTAGAATTTGAGAGAACACAAAGAATAAATGCACTGGCGCCATTGCAAACGATTTTGAGCCATGTCATTCAAGGTCTCTAGCCATCGATTATTATCATCTCGCGGACCCCAACCAGGTAGTCGACAATTACCGACATGGCTAAGTCCACTCGTCAATGACTTCATGGATTTCTGCCATGTTTTGGTCTGTCCGCCCCTAACTTTCTTCCAACCTACTCCTAAACTACAAAACAAAGCTCGACGAGGCAGTCGGTGGTTAGGCATACGCAACACGTGTCCCAACCACCTCAACTGATGAAGTTTCACCACTTCATCGATTGATCTGCCATTCTTACCTAGTACTCGTTTCCTAATAACAGCGTTGCTCACTCGGGTGTCCCACGATATACGAGCAATGCTTCGAAGACACCTATGATCGAAAACCAGTAACCTACGAATATTTTCTACTCTCACTGGCCATGTTTCACAGCCATAAAGTAAGACCGAGCGAACCACTGCGCAGTACACTCGTCCTTTAGTCAGCAAACGGATATCTCGCCTGCGACATAAGTGACGCAGGTTGGCAAAAGCCAATCGAGCCTTCTGTATCCGAGCTGAGATTTCGTCAGTCACTAGGCCATCGGCACTGATGAGAC